TCCATCTTCCTCCTTCCCTTCTCTCTCCCTCTTCCTCTCTCTCTGTCCATTCTTCCTTCACCCTCTCCATCTTCCTCCTTCCCTTCCCTCTCCCTCTTCCTCTCTCTCTGTCCATTCTTCCTTCACCCTCTCCATCTTCCTCCTTCCCTTCTCTTCTTGCTCTCCCTCTCTCTCTGTCCATTCTTCCTTCACCCTCTCCATCTTCCTCCTTCCCTTCTCTTCTTGCTCTCCCTCTCTCTCTCGATCGCAGTTGCGATGATTACATTGACGTTGAGTACCATGTTTATGTATTTACTGCACCTGTCTACTAGACGAATACGAAATTGAACGTCACTATTTTTCATCGTTGGATGCCGACCGTCCATTTATTACATACGTGTTTGTTGTAAGTATACGAGCAATTACGCGTTGCCAAAACACACGCACGCACGCACGCACACGCATATATATATATATATATATATATATATATACATCAGGGTTCGAAATTAAAAGGGAAGTCCTGCTGCCTACAGTAGTCAGTTAAGAGTTTGGTTCCTGCTCTCAACATCGGCACCAAGTACTTGCTGTCAAGAAATCCCTAATAACTCGCATAACATAGTAATCGCAGCAAACATTCTGCCTCGGTGAAGGAATAAATTTATTTGCTGCCTGCCTTTTTCTCTGACAGCAAGTACTTCACTTGCTGTCTGGCGGAAAAGTTAATTTCTAATCCTGACGCACACACACACGCACACACGCACGCACACACGCACACACGTATATATATATATACGTGTTTATGTTACGGCTGCATGGATGCTGCCGAGTGGGATGTGGTGACGCACTACTATTAATAAGGAGGGAGCTTCGCTGCTGTTAGCGTACACGGCGGCGGGGTCGTGTGGGGCGGCATGTAGCAACACTGCGCCTGAGCGTTTATTGCTTCTCAGTGACGCACTTAGCTCAGTGTTCGCGTGTTCGGTGCTCGCTCGTGTGGTGTTCACTAACGAATTTACTCGTGTGGTGTTCGCTCGCGGTGTTCACTTGCGTGATGTGCACTCATGGTGTTCACTCGCGTGGTGTTCCCTCGTGGTGTTCACTCGCGTACTGTTCACTCGTGGTGTTCGCTCGCATGGTGTTCACTCGTGGTGTTCCCTCATCAGTGAGTCATGGTGTTCACTCGCGTGGTGTTCCCTCATGGTGTTCGCTCGCGTGGTGTTCCCTCATGGTGTTCGCTCGTGTGGTGTTCCCTCATGGTGTTGAAGGTGTTCGCTCGCGTGGTGTTCCCGCGTGATGTTCCTCGTGAGGTGTTTGCTCGAGTGGTGTTTACTAAAGAATTCGCTCGTGTGGTGTTCGCTCGTTACGACGTTACCATGGTTACGGCGCTGCTCGCCGTCTGCTCTACTAATGAATACCGCGGCGATAAATTGTGATATTGCATAGCTATATACGATCAAGCAATATGCATGTTAATCGGGCTCCCCTATGAGTATATAGCATGATGATATAGTATACGATGAGTATATAGCAAGCGATGCAAATAACGAGGTCCTAGACATCGGGGGGGGGGTGGAGGGAGGGAGGCAATTAGATACAATCCAGGGCTAATATTACATGTATTGTGAAGCTGTTGATGTAATGTCACCCCCGACAGCGTAGGGTACTTAATAATGTTATTCGACTTCGTGTACGTGCCATGCCGTAACCTTGCGCGGACTGTTTGTACAGGACTGTGTTATGTCGCCTACACCTCGCGCACGTATAGGGAAGTACGGGGAACTCGTGAGTAGATATATATATATATCATCAATACCAGGGCCGTAGCCAGAGGTAAATTTTGTAGGAGGCAAATGTTGTGAGTTAAAGAACAAGGAGCGAAGCGAGCCAATAGGGCGTGGGGCATGGGGCCCGCTTAAGGGTCCGAGAAGCCAACGGTTATATGGTGCTCTGTGGTGCATTCTCTGCATATATTACATCTAAATTTCCATTTCAGCTGGCGGACTACAGGTTCAATAATGTGGTTAATAATTTTGGTTTCTCGTGATTTTTTTTTGAGAAATTTTGTAGGAGGCATTTGCCTCTTATTGCCTAATGGTAGCTACGGCCCTGATCAATACTACAAGTGCCTGCTCACGCGCTGGTGTGTTGATATGGTGCCTTTGTGTTTCGCAGCGAATGACGACGTCTGTGTAACGAGGGGACGGCCATCCAGCCTAGGTTACTGAATGTTTCTTTCTCATCGGCTTTCTGTTACACTGCTATGATGTGCTATGATGTGCTAAGCTTGCAATCACTTACGTTGAAATGTATACTGCACTTGGTATCTGTAAGCAGGTATGTCTGTAAGCAGGTGCGTCTGTTACCAGGTGTATCTGTAACCAGGTATATCTGTAACCAGGTGTATCTGTAACCAGGTATGTCTGTGACCAGGTATGTCTGTAAGCAGGTATATCTGTAACCAGGTATATCTGTAACCAGGTATGTCTGTGACCAGGTATATCTGTAACCAGGTATATCTATAACCAGGTGTATCTGTAACCAGGTATATCTGTAACCAGGTGTATCTCTAACCAGGTGTATCTCTAACCGGGTATACCCGTCTGTAAGTAGGTATATAACCAGGTGTATCCCTAACCAGGTATATCTGTAAGCCGGTCGGTCGCCACACACTGTAACCTAACTTAAAAGATGTTTGCATATCATTGCCAGAATTGTCGTGTAAAAAAATATTGTGAACCGAATCGTTGTTTATTATAGTACGTGATTTTTTTAGGCAACTCGTGAATGTTAGTTAGCACGTCTCGTCTCAGTGTATGTATGCCGTACGCATTTAGCTTGCGTGCACGCGTCTATATCTCTACCTTACATTACGTGGATAGACGGTTTACGTTGCAAGCCAGGGTGGCCGTTGTCAGAAACATCGTAAATGTTAAGAGACTAATGTTAAGAGTAATTTTGTTTCTGGCAACGGGCCCCAGGTGTCGGCCAATATAGTAATATACTATGCGCATGTTCTGGCTCCCGCTTAGTTGGAACCATAGTTGGACTACCTAATCTTAATTAATCCACCCTAATTTAATTATAAACTTGTAATACCTAATAATTCACGTAAGTGTTCGAGCAAGATAACGGCTCTTCATCCTCCTGCTCATTGCTTTATTCTTGTTCCTCCCGTGCTCCTTCTCCTGCTCCTCCTCCTACTCATTGCTTCTCTATTCTTGGTCCTCCTCCTGCTCCTTCACCTGCTCATCCTCCTGCTCATTGCTTCTTTATTCTTGGTCCTCCTCCTGCTCCTTCACCTGCTCATCCTCCTGCTCATTGCTTCTTTATTCTTGGTCCTCCTCCTGCTCCTTCTCCTGCTCATCCCCCTGCTCCTTCTCCTGCTCATCCTCCTGCTCATTGCTTATTTATGCTTGGTCCTCCCCCTGCTCCTTCTCCTGCTCATCCTCCTGCTCATTGCTTA